ATATAGCACCTTATCACAAATTTGAGACGTCTCAAAGCGCTTCACACAATATACTATGAAGTGAATTGACTGTATATTCTGTGGGCGAAACGCGGCAGCCAATTGCACACAGCAGAGTCCCACAAACAGCCGTGGAATGAGTCACCAATTTTTTTTGTGTGTTTTTTTTTAAAGGGATTATTATCTCTGGAAAAGCGATCCAACAATCAACTAACAACTGGGTTCCTACTTACTGCTGGTAAACAGAGGTGTGTGGAGTAAGTAAACTTGCCCAACCTTTCGCTGCAGCCAGGAATCAAACCCAGGTCCTCTCGCTTACGAGGCGCGCGCTCTAACCACCGCACTACAGGATTCCACAGACTTTTGTGTTTGATACACATGAAAACACTTACAGTTTGCGGTCAAGTGTGGTGACTTGCGGGCGAGTGCAGCAGCCCAGTTTAGGCCTAGCGATATTCCCCGCGATGTTCCCGTGAAGTGAATGAGCGATTTTATCTGGGGGGTGGGTGATTGCCAGCCAGGACACAGAGAGTGAGAGAGAGAGAGAGAGAGAGAGAGAAAGAGAAACTCTCTTTTCTTTTCCAATAGCACTGTGGGATCTTTAACAGTAGCTTGAACAGGGCACAGACGGGAGCTTGGCTTAATGTCTTGTCTGAAGTACGGTGTCTCCAACAATACTAAATGCCAACTCCCTGTACTCTTCCCACCACCCCAGGTGTTAATTCCCTCTTAAATGCTGCCACCCCCCCCACCCCCCCCAATTTGCTGGGCTCCCACAACCGGCCCTGACAACTCACTCCATCCAGTAAAGAGGTAGAGATACAGAGAGTTGGAAAATTAGCAAAATATCCTTCATAATCTCAGCACAGGGTCAGAACCCAAAGGTCAGCCACACAATGGGGCCACTCCATGTCTCTCTGGTTTACACAGGAGATATATATATATATATATATATACACACACCTCAGGGTACCTGACAAATAACACTCCTCCTCCCCTGCCCATCCCCCTCGTCTCCCCCCAAGGATAAGAGGAAACGACTTAAGCAATACACCATTTGCACTGAAGATGCCTCGGTGTTTCATTCCGGAGCAGCAACAATCATTGGGTCCACAGGGAATTCCGTGGGCCCAACCTCCCCTTTAATAAGAAACTGCCCTCCCCTTTAATAAAAACTGCAGCTCCTTCTTTTAATCCCTCTCTCGAGTCGGACTCAAAGTTTCCAAACTTCAGGTTTTTCCAACAACAAAGCGACTCGGAGGAGGGGGGGGGGGGGGGAGGTTGGGGGGGGAGGAGTGAGGGGGAAGATTCCGCAAGATCTGCAAATACTTGTAAAGCAGAACTACAGACGCACAAACCACAGTGTTGTGTAACTTTACAATCTCCTCAACAAAAATCACAATCAACATCCACTGCCCAAACCCAACCCCACCGCAACACCCCCACTCTCCCCCAGCCCAACCCCCCACTCTCCCCCCAGCCCAACCCCCACTCTCCCCCCAGCCCAACCCCCCCACCTTACAATTACCCAAGAACTGCAGATTTTTGACTCCTTCTACTGGCGTCCACCTCCAATGAGTCAACCCATTGGGGGGACATGGGGAGCGTGGAGGGGGGGAATGGGGAGCGCGGGGGGAATGGGGAGTGCAGGGGGGGGAATGGGGAGCGCGCGGGAGACTGGGGAGTGCGGGGGGGGAATGGGGAGTGTGGGGGGGAATGGGGAGCGCGGGTGTGAATGGGGAGCGCGGGTGTGAATGGGGAGCGTGGGGGTGGGGGGAATGGGGAGCGTGGCGGGGGGGGGAATGGGGAGTGTGCAGGGAGCACGGATGGAGTGAGTAGCTGACCGGCCGGGGATGGAGACACAGTAATTGGAAGAGGGTGGCTGAGCGAGAGGGTAAAAGTTCAGTATAAATTAGATTCCCTTTAGCAGAGACGTGCTGAGGTACACGACACGTGTACACTGTCGCTGCTGTTTAAAGAGACACGGAACCCACTTCCCCAAGAAGCCTCCAACCGTTCTCCAACTCCCCCCCCCCCCAATCTGTCTGCAAACCACCAAGGTAAAATGAGGTGTCAATGCAATATGGAAATGCATGCAGGCAAGGTTTCTTCAATAAAATAGCTGCACTTTTCTCCTAGCCCCCGAACCCCCCCTCCCAGAAATTGTCTTAAACCATCTCCGTGAATTACCTGCATGCCCTTGGACAAGGCAAGGCAACTAGCAGCCGCTCACATGGTCACAGCTTGACCGTCTCCACGTTAATTGTGTACAAACAGGCCTGCATTAACCCAATTAGCGGCAACTGATCCCATCATTGCCAGGACAGAGGTAAACATGGCTGACTGTAACCCAGGCTGAGATCAGTCACTCGGATCAGATCAGGTACCTGGAGCCTCGGAGTCAACTTCACACCAGGCAACAGCAACACAAAACATCACATTTGTACAAGCAGCGGGAAAGCTTGCCAGACAGCGCTCTCAATGGCAAGCCATGTGGTTTTAGCTGGTCAGACTCTAGCAGTTACCCCAACATACACTCTGGGGTCCCCAAGCCATGGTTTGTGCCAACCTGTGCCTAATACTTTCCGGAATTAGTTAAGCAGCATGGGTCCCTCCTGGGGGCGGTGGGGGGGGAGGGAGAGAGAGAGCGCTTTCCATTACAACAATCTATCTTTGGGATTTCCATGTGTAGATGGGATGCACGGAAATCTCAGTTTGGTTTGGATGCTCTTCTTAAGTACAGTGATGGCCTTCCACACATGTCTCTGACACCCGGCTGACCAAAGCAGATGTGACAGCCAATGTGTACCCAGCGACGTCCCACAAAGAGCTGTGAAGTTAGTGAGTGGTTTTCTCTGGGGTGATAGTGGAGCTAAGTCCAACTGAAATTCTCAGTTCTCAGTTGTGACCCAGAAACAGGTGTAAACCTCAACCTCAAACTCCAACAAGAAGTGGGCAGACTTCTGCAAAATAACCGAGTTACCCCCCCCCCCCACCATGGTAACTAGCAATGGAACTAGCAGAACCTTCAGAAAGAGGAATATTAGCTCTTAGCTCCCCCTTCCCTTCCGCATTGACTATCCTCCCCCTCCCTCTCCTTCTTCCACCCCCTCCCCAATCGTACCCACCTGCTCATCAGCTTCCTCAATCCTTTCTCCCACCCATCTCACTGCCCACAAGCTATTTGCGTTGTCTTTGCTTCATCGCCCTCTCCCACCCACCCCCATCAGCCCCTCCCCCATCTGTCTGACACCCTGTACATAAAAAGCTCAGCTCCACTTCCTCATTTTAATTCGAATGTCACTGAGGCCGTATAATACAGTAGTGAACAGACAATGCCATTCACACCACAGACACACACACAAACACACACACACAACTTGTTGCTCTCCTCCGCACAGATTGGGGCCTGGTACTGTGTACAACGCATCAACCAGTGCAGTACTCCAGGTGTGGCCTGACCAGAGCTATACACTGTACTCCAGGTGGAGTCTAACTGGAGTCGAAAGCCTCTCTTGCCAACAACAACAACTTACATTTATACAGTGCCCCTCAAACAGGGCAGTGTAACAGAGCGCTAACTGTCTGTGTAATGGATTGATTCATTCTCTTAATCCACCGCTGTTTGTGGGGACGCTGCTGTGCGCAATTGGCTGCCGTGTTTCGCCCACAAAATACACATTCACAACACTTTACTGTATATTCTGTGAAGCACTTTGAGACGTCTCGAAGACTTGATAAGGTGCAGACAGACCCCCCTCCTCTCCTCACCAGGCTAAGAGGTTCTTGTGCCACAGGCAGAGGATGGGGGGATTGGGCCTGTCATGCTCCCCCCCCACCCAGGCACATCCTTTCCTGACACTGACTGTCTCTTGTGTCAGGTACCAGAGGCGCCTGTCACAAGAACATAGGAACGCTGTCCCTACTGGAATCCAGCGCGACCGACACACATACCAGGGGAGACAGACAGACAGACAGATTGACAGCCAGTGGAGAGAGACAGAGACAGGCTGACAGCCAGGGGGGGAGAGACAGACTGACAGCCAGGGGGGGAGAGACAAACTGACAGCCAGGGGGGAGAGACAGAGACAGGCTGACAGCCAGGGGGGAGAGACAGACTGACAGCCAGGGGGGGAGAGACAAACTGACAGCCAGGGGGGAGAGACAGACTGACAGCCAGGGGGGGAGAGACAAACTGACAGCCGGGGGGGAGAGACAGACAGGGAGACTGAGATCGGGCGGGAGAGACAGAGAGAGAGGGGTGGGGGGAGCCAACACCAGCTCAGACCGAGCGAGTAGCAGCTCCCGGGAGTCTGGTCTCCCCACATCCACACACCCGGGGAGGGCTCGGGCCTGGGCTCAGGTCGGGGGCGGCGCTGAGCGATTGTCTGAGGCGCCCGAGAGGCCGCTGCGGGGGGGGGGGGGGGGGCTGCGGGGATCGTAAACAGCGAAATCAGCCCCGAGATTGCGGGGAAGCGGCTGTCAACAGCCCCCTCCCCCCTCCCTCCCCCGGTGCCTCTGATTTTCCTCCCCCCCCCCCCCGGGGTGACCCCCCCCGGGGTGACCCCCCCCCTCTCTGACAACTCCGCTAAACGCTGTGAAACTTCTGCGGAGCCGCCGCCGGTGTCCGGTTACATTGTAGCGACAACTCGTTACTATGTATCGCGGGAAGTAACCACTGTGCGGCCGCACTGATCCCGTCTGTCTGTGTTAGTCTGTGTCTGTCTCTCTGTGTCAGTCTGTGTGTGTGTCTCTGTGTGTCTGTCTCTCTGTGTCAGTCTGTGTGTGTGTGTGTCTGTCTCTCTGTGTCAGTCTGTGTGTGTGTGTGTCTGTCTCTCTGTGTTAGTCTGTGTCTGTGTGTCTGTCTCTCTGTGTCAGTCTGTGTGTGTGTGTCTGTGTGTCTGTCTCTCTGTGTCAGTCTGTGTGTGTGTGTGTCTGTCTCTCTGTGTCAGTCTGTGTGTGTGTGTGTCTGTCTCTGTGTGTGTCCCTGTGTCTCTCACCTTGTCGAGCCGGGGGGCGGTGGCCGGTGGCGGGGGTTTGTCCCTCTGGTCCCCGCGGCCGCTCGGGCTCTGTGCGGCGCTCTCCCCGCGGGGAACAGGACTCAGGTCCGGACTGAGAACTGACGCACTTTCGCTCTCGGCAGCTGATGGGAGTCACACAGGGCGTCGGGGCATTGTGGGCATTGTAGTCTGTATACGGCCTCACACACCCACAGTCACACACACACTCACAGTCACACATACAGTCACACACACACACCCACAGTCACACGGTCACACACACAGTCACAGTCACACACACACACTCACAGTCGCACACAGTCACAGTCACACACACACAGTCACAGTCACACACACAGTCACAGTCACACACACACAGTCACACACACAGTCACACACACACACAGTCACACACACAGACACACAGCCACAGTCACACACACACACACACAGTCACACACACACACAGCCACACACAGTCACACACACAGCCACACACAGTCACACACACACACACACACAGACAGTCACACACACACACGCACAGTCACACACACACAGCCCCCCCCCCACACACAGTCACACACACACATTCACACACTCACAGTCGCACACAGTCACAGTCACACACACACAGCCACACACACAGTCACACACACAGCCACACACACAGTCACACACACAGACACACAGCCACAGTCACACACACACACAGTCACACACACAGACACACACAGCCACACACAGTCACACACACAGACAGTCACACACACACAGCCCCCCACACACACACAGTCACACACACAGTCACACACACAGCCACATACACACACACAGTCACACACACACACAGTCACATCCACACACAGCCACATGCACACACACACAGCCACATACACACACAACTACATACACACACAACTACATACACACACAGCCTCACATACACACACAGTCACATACAGACAGCCTCTCACACACACAGCCTCTCTCTCTCATACACACACACACATAGCCTCTCTCTCACACACACACACAGCCTCTCTCTTACACACACACACACACAGCCTCTCTCACACACACACACAGCCTCTCACACACACAGCCTCTCTTACACACACACACACACAGCCTCTCTCACACACACACAGCCTCTCTCACACACACACACACACACACACAGCCTCTCTCTCTCATACACACACACACATAGCCTCTCTCACACACACACAGCCTCTCTCACACACACACACACACACAGCCTCTCTCTTACACACACACACACACAGCCTCTCTCACACACACACACACACACAGCCTCTCACACACACACACACAGCCTCTCACACACACAGCCTCTCTCACACACACACACACACAGCCTCTCACACACACAGCCTCTCACACACACACACACAGCCTCACACACACAGCCTCTCTCACACACACACACACACACAGCCTCTCACACACACAGCCTCACACACACAGCCTCTCTCACACACACACACACACAGCCTCTCACACACAGCCTCACACACCGCCCCACGGAGCAGCAATGCAGACCCGCCCTCCCACACAACAACAATACAGTCAGATTCCATGTGACTGACGGATTTTGATCCCAATAAGTCAGTGCGTTATCGGGAATGACTGACTGACTGGTGTGTGACCAGCGATCCCGGGGTCAGGGCCACAGCACAACAACAACAACAACAACAACAATAACAACAACAACAACAATAATTACTAACTGCTCTTTGCTCGAATTGTGCTCCTGTTGCCCCCCCCCACTCCCCCCCCTCCGCTGATCCGGACTCTCTCGCTCTCTCCACGATAGCGCTGCAGAGTGCTGGCGCCCCCCCCCCCCGGCCACAAGGCCAACTGCAACTCTGAGATTTCCTTTTCACAAATGCAGTTTACTGTCAAAGCTCCTGAGCGTTGAGGGGGTTCAAAACTGCAGTGGGGGGGACGGGGGGGACGGAGGAGCGGCTTCAGCCTCTCCAACTGGGCAGAGGTATGGAGACACACAGACTGAGATATTTTGCCCACAAAATACACTCAAACAACTTTACAGCGAGTCCTGTGAAGCGCTTTGAGACGTCTCAACGGTGTGATAATAATAATAATAATAATCCTTGCATTTGATATAGCACTTTTCACGTCGGGAGGACGTCCCAAAGCGCTTCACAGAACACACTGTAACTGTATATTTGTGGGTGAACACGGCAGCCAATAAGGCGCTGTATCAGATGCCGGGATTATTATTATTATTATAGAGAGACGCAGACGGAGATATAGAGACACAGACAGAGAAGTTGTGTGTGAGAGAGTGAGATTCAGGATAATCTGTCACTTACTATAAAGTTCTACATGAAACAGTCACAGATGATTGGTCACAAAAGAGTAATTTATTGAAATAATTTTTAAAAAATCCACACAAAACACAAGAGACAGAAACAGGCCACACTTTTCCAGAAACTTCTTTCACATCATCACTTTGTATCTGTTGAAACCTTACAGCTTGCAGCACACACCTGCTCACTTATTTTGCCCACAAAATACACAGTCACTACACTTTACAGTATATTGTGTGAAGCGCTTTGAGACGTCTCGAAGACTGATAGGGGTTGTATCCAATGCAAGGATTATTATTATTATAGGAGATACAGCAATGAGCTGCACACGACAGTACAGATATGTGCACATTGTATAGAATACTTCAGGACATGATAGAAAACACCTGTACACCACAGAAAACACGTGTGCATCACAGCACACATCGGTGCACAACAGCACACACGTGTGCACTGCAGCACACGCCTATGCACCACTGCACACATCTGTACACCACAACACACACGTGTACACCACAGCGCACACGTGTACAACACAATACAAATGTGTATAGTACAGCACACATGTGTACAACATAGCACTCACATGTACACAATACATTGGAGGGAAGTGGGGAATGTGCAATGTGTAATGTGTGATGGACTTTGTATTTCTCTCGTTATTGTCCAGTAGTTAAACGCCTCCGATTGCCCCAAAATGTGGCTCCCGGCTGAACCTAGTGGCACCTGGTGGAGCTCAGAGTAAACCCCGCTCAGGCGAGTGAGAGGGGCAACACCCCCGAGACCATCATGTTCTCCTCGATGAACACTGTGCAGGAAGCTTCAGGTGGGGGAGGGTGTGGGCGATGGTGCTTGTGGGCAGTGCTGGCAGCGTAACGGGGGCTGAGGTGGGTCGGAGGGCTGTGGCTGGAGCTCTCTCGCCTGGGTTGACCCTGGCACGGCAGAAGATAGCGGTGGGCAGACTGACGCAGGTTCCCGCTGAAGACCAAGTAGATCCATGGGTTACAGCAGCTGTTGAGGTTGGCGAGGAGCATGGCGATGGTGAAGAGTGAGTTGGAGGAGCCTGAAACATGTCAATAACAGCAGAATGATGAGAGAACAGCGCGGACATAAGAACATAAGAATTCTTGGAGAAAGGTCCATCCAGTTCACCTTCCCCCACCCTGGCAGTTGCTTGACATGTCGTGGCAGGGGTGGGAGGGGGGAAACCGTGATGGTTCAGTGATTAAATTAATATTAATCCCAAACTCTAATTAACTGACCTCTCATTTTATTGTTTGCTCGCACTGATTAACTGCCGCCTTTGCCTTTACATTATAACATCATTCACTTAATTTCCAATTAACCTCATCTGTGAAACGCTTTCCAGCACATGTGAACGATGTTGCATAAATGCTGCGGTTCTTCTAATAATAATCCCTGCATTTGATATCGCGCCTTATCACGTCTTCGAGACGTCTCACAGCTCTTCACAGAATATACTGTAAAGTGAATTGACTATATATTTTGGCAGTCAATTGCGTACAGCAGTGTCCCCACAAACAGCCGCGGATTGAGTGACCACATTATTATTATTTTATTTATTTAATGTTTTTCGAAGGGAATTATTACCCCCGGAAAGTGATCCACCGATCAACAAACAAGCAGGTTCCTACTTACTGCTCGGTAAACAGAGGCGTTTGGAATAAGGAAACTTGCCTAAGGTTTCGCCCCGCCCGGAATCAAACCCAGATCCTCTTGCTGCGAGGCGAGTGTTCTAACCACTACACTACAGGTCTTAAAGCGACACTAACGTACCATCATCAGGAGCAGCCAAGTCCCACACAGACCACATCTGGACGGAGAAGAAGGGGCTCCAGCACACCACATAAGCCAGAACAATCACAAAGGTCATCTTCACGGTTCGGATCTTGGCCCTGGACATGGACTTGATGCTGCTGACCCTGCCTGGTCCCATCTCCCCGCCCGGCCTCCCCTCCCCCTCACTCCCCGCCGACTTCCAGCGCAGGTTCCGGCAGATCTCCAGGCAGATCAAGCTGTAGCACAGAGCGAGCACCAGCACCGGGAGGATGAAGATGGAGGCCGTGGTCCAGGTGATGTAAGCTTTGGCTCCCCACGAGACGTCAAATACCGCCCAGCAGTCGTACACCCCCGAACCCTCGTCCACCTCCCTGAGCGAGAAGATAAAGACCTGAGGGAGGCTGAGGACACAGCTGAGGAGCCAGGCAGCCCCGATCATCACGTAGACCTGTCTCACCGGCTGCTGGAACGTCCTCAGAGGGTGACACACGGCCAGATAGCGATCGGCCGTCATCACGAGCAGCATGTTGGTGGAGGCGAACATTCCCACCACCTGCAGGTACTTGACCGATCGGCACAGAGCGTCAGGCCCTTGGAAGCGGTAGGTGATCTCCCAGCACAACTGCGGCAACACCTGGAACAGGGCGACGCACAAGTCTGTCAGTGCCAGGTGCAGCACGAACAGGTGAGTGCGTGAAAGCTTCCTCTTCATCCGGCACAGAGCGGTCAGCACCGCCAAGTTCCCAGCCACGGCTACGATCAGTACAGCAGCCAAGACGCTGATCTCAGCCCGGGCCAGCTCCTCATCTCGGCTCAGGAGGAAGTCCGCGCTGCGCTGCGTGGGTTTGGCTGCCGTCTGGTTGGGCCACTGCCTGTTAGCTCCAAACCCAGAGCTCCAGGAGCAATTCTGTCCAGTCAGCATTGGCTTGTGGTGCGGAGTCGACGGAGCCGGTCGTACCTCTGGGACGCTATAGAGTACAAGCTGTTGTTGCTGTTGCTGTTGTTGTTGGTGGGGGGGGAGGGATAGCAGGGGGAGAGGCAGTGGGGGGGAGAGGCAGCGGGGGGAGAGGCAGCGGGGTAGGGGTAGTGGGGGAGGGGTAGCAGGGGGAGGGGTAACGGAGGGAGGGGTAACGGGGGGAGGGGTAACGGGAGGAGGCGTAGCGGGGCAGAGGGGTGGGTGGGAGGGGTAGCGGGGGAGGGGTAGCGGGGTGGGGGGGTTCACTTCAACTTCAAACGTAGGGGAATTCTGAGAATGTTTCTTCCTTTGATGATCAACCGCTCAGCCACGAACCCGATTGTTTTTCAGATTTCCGTCCTCACGGCGTTCCGGGGAAATGTCCGTATTCCCTTCCAGGATTCTCCCGTCCGTCCGTGTGTCTGGACGTCTGTGTCCCAGCCTGAGTGACTGTCTCCAAGCTCACTGCACAGCCTCGTCTCTAAACAGACGTAGACACAGACCCCGCACATAGTCTCTGCACGCAGACCAGCGCTGGGCTGATGTGCAGACCGCCCCCCCTCCCCTAATACTCCAGAGTCCCCCACTGCGATTGGCTGCATCTCTCTCTCTCTCTCTCTTTCTCCAGTCAGGTTCTCTCTCTCCTCGCTCCCTTACATTAAACAGCCACTTCACAGCACTCTTCCCTTAAAGGGCATCATCCTCATGCGAGAAGCAGCTTGGTAAATAATTCTCCTAACATGCCCCCCCCACCCCCACCACTGCTCTCTCTATCCAATTTTCTCATCTCTGAGCTTTGCACAGTGGGGAATGATGAGACTCCAACAAAGAAGCTAAAGGTGGAGATAAATCTAATGGAGGATTTTAAACGTGTAAATTGTTCGCACAGAGTAATCAAAGCCAATTTCCAATGGTCAGAAAGACAGTAACATGAGGCAATGGATTGAGGATTATCACCAGGTGATGAAGAGAGGGAGGTTAGAAAGATTGAGTCACGCGGAGTTATTGGAGTGTGAAATATTCAGTCCAAGTTCATAACAGTGTTTAAACACAACATGGATAAGTGTTTAAGGAACAATAATGTTACAGCCCAGGAAAATACCAGCGGAATGGGGTTAGAGTAGAGAGCTCCAGTGGGGGAGCGAGCCACAGCACAGACACGATGGGGAGAGAGAGAACAGGGAATGGGATTAGAGTAGATAGAGAGTTCCAGTGGGGGAGCGAGCCCCAACAATGATGGACCATCAAGCCTGTTTCTGTACTGTATTGTGTGTTTCTGAGACTGAGTGAAAGGGGAATCGAACTCGGGTCCTCTCGCTTCGGGATGCATTGGGGTGCCAAGAGAGGGTGGGGGTCGGGCTGAGCGTGTATCTTGCAACCAGTGAAGCAGCCTCACACCTGTGGTGCCTACTTTGTCCCCATTTTACAGGAACCCGTCAGCAGCACTCTCTCTGCTCTCACACTTCCCTATTACCTGTTGCCCTGATCTCCTCTGCACCAGTTTGCTGACTTCTCTCACCCTTTCTTTCTGTAAATGTTGACAGCGTTGGAATCAAGGTGCTAATGCCCCCAGGGAGCAGAGCGTCTCTGTGCTGTGTGTTAGCAGCGTGGTGTGAGCTGACGTGTGTGTGTGTGACACAGCTAATTATAGAGAGTGAAAGGTTGGGTGCTAAACACCGCTCCGGGTAATGTTAGACACTCTTATTGACCTCAGCTAGATGTGAGCGCAGCGCTGATTGGCACGGGATAAAGAGGACCATTCCCCTCGTCTTAGCAGCCAATATTTACTCTCACCAACATGTCTCCTTCCCTCTCTCCTCCTCCCTATCAGTGCCCCCATCACAGCCTCCCTTCAGCCCCTGTCCCGGTTATTTTAAACACTTGAATGCTCTGTTCCTCTGCCCAAGACAATCAAAACTCTCCCCTTCTATCCCAATAAGAACATAGGAATAGGAGTAGGCCTTTCAACCCCTCGAGCCTGTTCCAGCATTCTATCAGATGATTGCTGACCTGAACCTCAACTCCAATTACCGCCTTTGTCCCATATCCCCTAACCCTAACCCTGACCTATCAAACATCTATCCATCTTAGTCTTCATGGCTCCCTCAGTATCCTTCTCATCTGTGAGTCAGTGGGTGATTGTCGGCTTAAGCCCCACATCAGAGCTTTAAACTCACAGTTGAGGCTGATGCTCCACTGCATTGTGCGAGGTGCGATCACTTCAGATAAGACGTTAAACTAAGGTCCCATCTGCCTTCAACACAGGCCATCTGTTACCAGGAGGTGGGAAGTTGTCTGGCAGTGTCATGTTGATGGGCTCTATATTGGGCATGAGTTGGCAGGAGTTGGCAGGGGTTGGCAGGAGTTGGCAGGGGTTGGCAGGAGTTGGCAGGGTTGGCAGGAGTTGGCAGGGTTGGCAGGAGTTGGCAGAGGTTGGCATGCCTTGGCATGGGTTGGCAGGGATTATAGGAATTGGTTGGTCACTGTAAAGTATCAGAGTCCTGGAGAAATTAACTAATCACTAGCAAACATAATCCGTGAGAGGACAGGTGGGAATCAGCCATGGGCTGTGCTAAGTGCTGTGCACAGACTGAATCACAGGCGGTGCTTACATTACGTGTTATTATTCTTATATTATTATTATTGCCCCTGACACACTGCCTGTGGGACAACACTTCACTTTCAAGAGGTTATAAATCGGAAGCAAGAAATAGTAAGAATCATCCATCGCATCAGTGTGAGCACTGACAGCTATAGTTCCCCACGATACATGTACAGGTCTGTGGGTCATATATACTGTATGTGCTGGTGTTCTCTCCCCCACTGGAGCTCGCTACTCCTATTCCCTGCTCCCTCCACATACATATACCCCACCCCACACACCCCCACACACGCACCCCCCCACCCCACCCCCACACATGCATCACCCCACCCCGCAGAAGACTTATCCTGTATTTTAAATTCAATGTTGAATCGTTCTCTTCAATGGGATTTGACTGAATTTGCTAGATTTATCTTGAGAGCCGCCCCCACCCCAGCAAACAAGGGCGAAGTGGAGTATGAGGCAGGGAACAGGGGGAAGGAGGAGGGTACGGGGGTAGGATACAGGGATGTCAGCAGGGAGCTTGAGATGGGATGGGGGGGCACAGGTGGAAATAATATTGCAGTAAAACTAATCATAGCATTTTGTGCGCAGACACATACCATCAACCAAGTGCCTAACGTGAGACAATGCGGCCCCTTAAGAGCCTTTTAATAACTTTGGCAAATGAAATAGTCATTCCTGCTGTGTAGCAACACCGTCTCCGGAGATTGATCTCGTAGTTATTATTGATCTCATCAAAACTCCAGCCATTGTGTGTGTGTGGGGGTGTATGCGTACGTGTGTGTGTGTGTGTGTTGGGGGGGGTGTATGTGTACATATGTGTGTGTGTGTGTGGAGGGGTGTATTTGTACCTGTGTGTGTGTGGGGGGGGGTGTATGTGTACGTGTGTGTGTGTGGGGGGGGTGTATTTATACGTGTGTGTGTGTGGGGGGGGGTGTATGTGTACGTGTGTGTGTGGGGGGGGGAGTGTATGTATACGTGTGTGTGGGGGGGGGTGTATGTGTACATGTGTATGTGGGGGGGGAGTGTATGTGTATGTGTGTGTGTGGGGGGTGTATGTGTACGTGTGTGTGTGGGGGGGGGGAGTGTATGTATACGTGTGTGTGGGGGGGGTGTATGTGTACATGTGTATGTGGGGGGGGAGTGTATGTGTACGTGTGTGTTTGTGGGGGGTGTGTGTGTGTGTGGGGGAGGTGTATGTGTACATGTGTGGGGGGGTGTATGTGTACGTGTGTGTGGGGGGGATGTATGTGTACGTGTGTGTGTGTGTGGGGGGGGGTGTATGTGTACGTGTGTGTGTGGGGGGGTGTATGTGTACGTGTGTGTGTGTGGGGGGGTGTATGTGTACGTGTGTGTGTGGGGGGGGTGTATGTGTACGTGTGTGTGTGGGTGGGGGGTGTATGTGTACGTGTGTGTGTGGGGGGGGTGTATGCGTACGTGCGTGTGTGTGGGGGGGGTGTATGTGTACGTGCGTGTGTGTGTGGGGGGTGTATGTGTACGTGTGTGTGTGTGTGTGGGGGGGGGGGTGTATGTGGTGTGTGTGTGTGTGGGGGGGGGTGTATGCGTACGTGCGTGTGTGTGGGGGGGGTGTATGTGTACGTGTGTGTGTGTGTGTGTCGGGGGGGTGTATGTGTACGTGCGTGTGTGTGTGGGGGGTGTATGTGTATGTGTGTGTGTGTGTGGGGGGGGTGTATGGCAGTGTGTGTGTGGGGGGGGTGTATGTGAGTGTGTGTGTGTGGGGGGGGTGTATGTACACGTGTGTGTGTGGGGGGGGGGTGTATGTGTACGTGTGTGTGTGTGGGGGGGGTGTGTGTGTACGTGTGTGTGTGTGGGGGGGGGTGTATGTGTACGTGTGTGTGTGTGTGTGTGGGGGGGGGGTGTATGTGTACGTGTGTGTGTGGGGGGGGGGGGTGGGGGGTGTATGCGTACGTGTATGTGTGTCTCCCAGACTCTGCGAACAGGTCAGACTTCAGGTGTTGTTATTAAGGGTATCCACCAGGTGGGGCCAGAGGTCCACACTCCTGCCCACAGCTGTTTACAGGGCAGATTGAAGTTCAATCAACACTCAACCACTGAGGATGTGAAGTGCTTTGGGAGGAGAGGTCCACACCTCAGAGGCAATGGCAGTCTCAAGCTTGGCCACCAATGGAGGAGCAAAAGGGATTTGGTGATGGAGCATTGGCCAGAGACAGGAGGTCCCGGCTAGGAAAGAGAGGCGGGGTGGGTGGGCAAGACAGGGGAGCCGTCTGAAGCTCAGGTGGTGGCCTCGCAGTTGACGGAGGAGGGCAGAGGGAGGAGGAGAGGGGGATGAGAGTGGAGGAGGGAAAGGCAGGATGTGGGACTAAGCCATGATTACTTCGCTGCCTGTCACCTATCATATTAACGGCAAATATGGTGGAAACGGTTCAAAATAAAACCAATAATAGTTTTATATAAAACAGTTTTACTGAAATGCACAGCGTTAAAAGGTGCAACATTTAAAGATACAAAAATAATGCTTCCGGTGGACAGATTCACACGCCAGGCGCTGCCACATAGACTGAGCAACTCCCAGAGTTTGCTCTGTGATGTCTCAAACAGCAACCAGTGGACAATACACAGTCAGGTCCAGAACAAACAGAACACACCAGGATTGCACTCACAGTCTTGGTGTCAAATTATTTACAAACTGGGTGTTTTATATTGCATTGCCTGACAGTGACAGACAATGTGACAAACTACTGTACACAAAGGAGGACAGTAACACTCTTGAACTCACTAACAGTTATAAACACAGAACAAGAACACATCCCAATGCACCAGATCCCATCCCATTCACCCCCACTCCATAAAACGTGACCCAAACAGCAATTGCTGCTGTAACTCTCCTTTTCGTCAATTGCACTTATTACTCTATGTTTCATCCACTGTGAAAACTCACCAGCACAATCTACTGTGTGAAGCTTTAGTAAAGCAATGCTCTTATTGGGCTGACTTGCTCGGTGCATTGCTCAGTGTTGTGGGACAGAGTAGTTTACCGCTTGCCCTATGTCTGTGGTTTATTTCAGATCTAGTTCTTGCTCCACAATCGATCACCAATGAGAAATGTAACCTTCATTTACACAACATTTGATTTTTATTCTATCCTCAAACAGCCACAGGCACGGTGAAGTTCACACGGTCAGTGGCTCCCAATACCAAGGCTGCAACTTGAGCAGCAAAAGGAATTGCAATCATCAACAGTTTCACAGTGTTTAAACAACGCAGCAATAAAGTGAGGGAAGCTGCAGCCGGCAATACTTTGCAGACATTTACGAAACCCCATTCATTACTGCACAAGAGGCTGGTTACCACATCAGCAGTGATTCAATTGCAATGAACACCAGCAGCACAGGCACAGACTCACACTGCAGTTTCAGTATCAGACTCTGTGTTTATTACTGTCAGTGTCTGTGGTTAACCAGGTTCAGTCAATCTGCAGCACTGCGAGCGGTGACAGTGATCGTTTGCTCCTCAGCAGATGTTTCCATTTGGGGGGTTCTGGGGGTGGGGTCAGGGCAGAAGTTGGGATAATAATAATCCCTGCATTTCATATAGCACCTTATCAGGTCTTCAATCGAGACGTCTCAAAGCACTTCACAGGATATACTGTAAAGTCCAATGACTCTACATTTTGTGGGCAAAACACTACAGCCAATTGTGAACAAATTATTTTTTATGTATTATATTTAGGTTTCAGGATTAATATAAAACCTGTGGTACCGGCTGCCATGTGATCCTACCAAAATATATCAATTCATAAGAACATCAAATACAGCTAATTCTGTGGAGAATCACAGCACATTTTCTCCCCAATCTATCCTCTGTGTGTGTGTGGCAGATTGGCTCAGTGGGTGTCACTCTCATCACAGGGGCAGAAGGTCACAAAGCAAGCCTGTTGTCTTGAAGCTATGAGATATTACAGCTTGATAAGATGCTGGAAACACGTGAGAGCCTCCTTGCTATGAGGCAGTGCAGACTTGCTCTCGGGCCACTTATCAAGCGCTCTGGGACGCTACCCTGCGTGAAGGGTGCTATATAAAGTTGTTGTTGTTATTTCTGACGTCACAAGCCGCATTTCCTCTGGGACAAGGGAGTCACTGCAGCACTTTAATCAAATGGGATCCGAGTCCTACTCCTCCACATGTGTGACACTCTTTCTTCCTTCACAAGTGCCTGTCCTCGTGTCTCACACACACACAGGCTGCCGGGAGGGTGGCCGCAGTCTGCAACACTGGCATCAGTTTTAGTGTCCGAGAAGCTGAGAGCACTGCCCCAGGTCCAAACTCAGGCATGGCCTGTTCACACCCATCCATGGGCACAGAACCTCAGGTGGAACCCACTGGACAGCTGGTGCTCGAGGCTTTTGGAACTGAGGAATGACAATAAAGCACAATTGCAAAGTAACTGCGAAGCTGAGAAGCTGTGTGACACGTTCACACCATCATCTGATACACTCCTCTTCACACAGGCTGTCATCATCCTCCTCCTCGGCCTCTGTGTCTGACAGATTCCCCCACAACAGCAGCTCCACACCTGAAACACAGCATTCTCAGCCTTAACACCCTGCCCGTGGATACCAGCCTGTAACAGGCCCTAACATCCTGTGTGCCCCCCCACATATACCAGCCCTGACTGGAACAGGCCATAGAGGCAGAGGTTTAACTCCCTGTCTGTGCCGAAAGACTGATCTCAGCGGGGATGGGGCTGGCGTGTGGGGGGGGGGGGGGGGGGTGAATCGGCCAATAATTGGGTCTCAGAAGGGAAATGAGCTGGGCTTTCTCACCCCTGTTTTTAGCCAGAGCCCCTGCTGGAGGTGTGTGTATGTGTGGGTCTCACTGGGGGAAGACAGACCAAGAGGATTGCCAAGTTAGAAGGGGAAAGGGAAGGCAGGAGGGCAGTAACCAAAGCCACAGTCAGAAAGGCAGGCTTTCAGGAGGTGTTGAACACGTTATTGAGGGTGTGAGATGGAGGGTTTTGGGGATGGAATTACAGAGCGGGTGTGTAATGGTGACTAATCTGGGGGAGGCCTGGGAGGTACAGACCGTTGTTCTGGCTCTCTGCACCACACTGGTGGCTCCCTGGTTGTGACAATGGTCAGTGTATTCTTGCTGTGCACCAAACTCTACCTTCTAACCCCCCAGAGACATGTCAAGTGATGGGATTAGAGGTACAGATCAGCCATGATTTTATAGAATGGCAGAACATGCTCGAGGGGCTGAATGGCCTACTCCTGTTCCTATGTTTCTATGTTCTTTTGGAGAGCCTCAGTAACTTGCCGATGAACGTTAGACATAATCAGACATAAACAGATGCTGTTTAAATCAGGGGCTTTAGAAGACCAGGTGCTTCTGTTCACAGTAACATTTACGACAGCCTCTAATAGCACTGGAGATCAAGGGGAGCATGTGTGACACAATGGTTGGTGCTTTGACATAACCAGGCTCTCTCTCAGTTGCCTGTGTGCGGGTGTGAACAATGGGGGCATTGTGTGTGCTGGGACGTTCCAGGCAGTCACTGACAAAGGGCTGACTTACCAGCGGGATCCAGCCTGTTGACAGCACAGATCACCTGGCTGTGAAACATCCAGAAATGGCCGTTGTTACAGGACAGGAGACAAGGTTTGCACGGGATGACCACATGGTAACCTACCACGTTACCACTGCAACAGGAGAGAGAGAGAGAAAGAGTGAGTGACGACTTGGCGTTCTGACTGTCTGTCTCTCTCTGACACAACAACATTCCTGCGTTTTAAAAATAAACCTTACTAAATCACCAAACTAGAGCAAATTGAAAAATGCTGTGCGGAGCAGATTAATACGTCTCATATTCATACCGTAAAAAGCTCAGTGTATGGCGGGGGAATGCTGAATGGATGGAGAGACACAGACAAACTGAGGTGCTGTTTGTTCTCCAGTTTGTCAGGTAAGGACTTTTGTCCACGATATTGAAAGGGAAGCTATTGTGGCTACAATAATATGTGTGACACGGATGAATTTGAAACCTTTCAATGGTGACAGCATTTTCCATCTACACTCTTAATGAATGAGGACATTTACCTTTTACTTCCTTGGTTCATCTACAAATATACGGTTACTACACTTAACAGTAATTACTGCAAAGCTCCTTGAGACATTTTGACGTGATAAGGCACTGTATGAAATGCAGGGACTATAGGTATAATTCAAATGGAAATATCACCATCAGTACAACAGTCACTGGGCCTTTAATTCTCAAAAAGTAGTTAAGATTATATTAATAATAATCCTTGCATTTGATATAATGCCTTATCACGATCATTGAGACGTCACAAACATTTCACAGGATATACTGTAAAGTGGAGTAACTGTGTATTTTGTGGGTGAAACATGAGGCTTGTGCTAATATGCACCAAGTGTAGTTAGTTCCCTTTGTTTTCTGTAAAGGGCAGCGATGTGATGTGACAACTGTGTGGCAGTCGCTGTAAACAGGAAACGCGTCGAGGAGATGAGGCCTTGTGCAGCACACACGAGCTTCTCTGGGAGGCACAGACAGGCTGTTTTATACAGGTCCCCTGTACAGAGAGGAAGCCCTGAACAATGCAGAATGTATCAGAAGCCCAGAGTGACACAGCCCCACTGTGGCCGCACTGTATACAGCTGAAGACAAACAGGGCTGCATGTTCCAACAACAACAGGTTCCCCGCACAATGGGAAGTAAACACTTGGAGGGTTTGTGATGTTCTGCTGTGTGTGTGTCGCTGTGCTGATGGCACCGGGCACTGATCTTAGCCATCAGGAAACCTCGGGCCCGAATCAGCTGACCTCGGCTGGAACTGAGACCTTGGCACAATTGGCCTTGATGTTTGGCTGCGAGCAACGGGAATCCCCAATGCTGATCACATCACTGTGCGGGAACTCCCAGTAACACACACAGTACATCCTCTCACTGGGCAGCCACAATGGGCAGTGGGTGGGTAAGGCAGGGAGAGTCTCGGGGCCTGTTCCCCTGATACCAATTACTCAGTAAACGGTGGGGGGCGAAGCTGGGATTGCGAGCGTGCAGTCAAAGAGCTGCTGTGGTTAGTGCCACAAACAACCAAAGCTTATGCATTTATTTTTATCCCGAGACCCAGACAAAATCCAGACATTCTTTACTCTGTCATCAGTCATTTTCTCTCTGAAATTACAGCTGAGAACATAATAATAATAATCCTCGCATTTGATATAGCGCCTTATCATGTCTTTGAGATGTCTCAAAGCGCTTCACAGAATATACTATAAAGTGAACTGACTGTATTTTGTGGACGAAACATACTCACCATTTTAAGCACGCGATGTCCTTTATTTTACATTTGCAGCTTTCTGTGGAATAACAATTACCCACAAAGTCCACGGCCCTGTAATTTAGAGCAGTCTGTGTGTGAGAAACAGCTGTCTACTGACAGGAGCCGAGCTCCCCTGCGCGATCAGCCCAGCCACACCTTCCCATAGCCTGTGTCAGCACAGCCCTCCTCACCCCCCACAGCCCTCCTCACCCCCCACAGCCCTCCTCACCCCCCACAGCCCTCCTCACCCCCCACAGGCCTTCTCATCCCCCATAGCCTGTGCCAGGCACAACGCTCCTTACGCAGGTAACACGCCTGTTACACTGAGCAGGTAACATGCCTGTCACCTGGTGCAGGTAACACACCTGTTAAACAATGCAGGTAACACACCTGAGCTGCAATGCCCTTGAAGCCACAACACCTCAAACCCGACATACCGTCTTTGCAGCAGTACAGGATGGGAGACAGGTGAGTGCAGACAGACGTGTTACAGCACACAGGCAAACACTAGCTCTTGTTCGCCAAATGTCTCACATCATTGAGAGAAATTGAGAGAAATTCCTTAAGTGCCCATGTGGCTAGACAGGCAGAAAGAAAGGAAAACAGACAGACAGGCAGACAGACAGAGACAGACAGCTAAACCCTGTTAGCATTTGGGGGCCAGGTTTATAGTGATACAACAGACAAGAAAGTCAAATATTTCCTTATTAAACCATGGGATGCAGGGTGGTGCGACAGAGCAGTGAGTGAGCCATGAGCTTACAACATTGTGTATTTACACAGCGCCCTTCACACAGGGTAGCAGGGCACCAAGTCGAGCCTGGGGGCGGTAAGCGTAGGCACGATCTGAAGACGTGGAGAAGGCTTACCTGGTGGGTGGGATGTCAGTGGAGTAGAGCTCAATGTCAGTGTCTGCCAGTAAGACAGCCCTCATACCCCGGGCACACAGAGAGCTCTCACAGAACTTACAGCAGAGCATCATGACCAGTTTGTTCTTAAACGTTGAGGTAGGCATCTCGGAGTCAGGTTAGGTGACCAGCAGCCACCTCACTTGCCTTCGCCTTATTTAGCTCGTGATAGTCTGTCCGTAACCCGCTTTACTGTGATTATTTATTTACACTCTGCTATCTCACTGTAATCTCCTGACTCGCCAATAATCTCTAACGCTTTATTGCTTAATATTCACCAAACCCAGTCCCCAATAAAACGATGACTGTACTCTTGTGTTTCTGGGTCACTTTATGAAAGGCAGATTGATTACTGCTGCTGAATAATAAGAAAATATACCACAATATTGGTTTCGAAAAAAAAAATCCAGGCTTTAAAAGCTGCAGTAATCCTTTCCTCCACTACTGTCTCACTCGCATCTCTCTCTCTCTGTGCGTGTGCTTCAGATGTCCTCTGCCTCTCCTCACCTTGCCCTGATTTCATCCAGTTTCTCTGGCGTGGACCTGCCGGGCTCGGATGGAGGGTGTGTGTCAGTCAGCACACGGCTCCCCGCTCCAGCACCAGTCTCTCGTCTGTCCAACCGACTGACTGACTGACTGACTGACCAGACTGCTGTCACCGCTGTGTCACAGTTAGTTACTGCAGTGTGTGGTGACCACTCTCTCTACGGCCACAATGTCTCAGTGGGTACAGCTTTGCTCACTTTCGATCCGTCTTTCGCTGTATCTGTTCCTCTCACTTTCAGTACCAGTTTCACACACAGAGTCAGTCAGTCTCACTCTCACTCTCTCCCCCCCACTGGCTGTGTGTGTGTGTACAGTAAGTGTCTCACTCTCACTCTCTCCCCCCCACTGGCTGTGTGTGTGCCTCTCTCTGTCCCCCCCTCCCTCACACCTCTCTGTGTCTCAGATTGTCTCTCAGCGCGTGTGTGTGTCTCAGTGTCTTCACTCTCAGTGTGAGTGTCAGTGAGTGAGACTCAGTGCCAGTGAGTGTGTCAGTGAGTGAGCCTCAGTGCCAGTGAGTGTGTCAGTGAGTGAGCCTCAGTGCCAGTGAGTGTGTCAGTGAGTGTGTCAGTGAGTGAGCCTCAGTGTCAGTGAGTGTGTCAGTGAGTGAGCCTCAGTGCCAGTGAGTGTGTCAGTGAGTGAGTGTCAGTGAGTGTGTCAGTGAGTGAGCCTCAGTGCCAGTGAGTGTGTCAGTGAGTGAGCCTCAGTGCCAGTGAATGTGTCAGTGAGTGAGCCTCAGTGTCAGTGAGTGTGTCAGTGAGTGAGCCTCAGTGCCAGTGAGTGTGTCAGTGAGTGTGTCAGTGAGTGAGCCTCAGTGTCAGTGAGTGTGTCAGTGAGTGAGCCTCAGTGTCAGTGAGTGTGTCAGTGAGTGTGTCAGTGAGTGAGCCTCAGTGTCAGTGAGTGTGTCAGTGAGTGAGCCTCAGTGCCAGTGAGTGTGTTAGTGAGTGAGCCTCAGTGTCAGTGAGTGTGTCAGTGAGTGAGCCTCAGTGCCAGTGAGTGTGTCAGTGAGTGAGCCTCAGTGTCAGTGAGTGTGTCAGTGAGTGAGCCTCAGTGTCAGTGAGTGTGTCAGTGAGTGTGTCAGTGAGTGAGCCTCAGTGTCAGTGAGTGTGTCAGTGAGTGAGCCTCAGTGTCAGTGAGTGTGTCAGTGAGTGAGCCTCAGTGTCAGTGAGTGAGCCTCAGTGTCAGTGAGTGTGTCAGTGAGTGAGCCTCAGTGCCAGTGAGTGTGTCAGTGAGTGTCAGTGAGTGAGCCTCAGTGCCAGTGAGTGTGTCAGTGAGTGAGCCTCAGTGTCAGTGAGTGTGTCAGTGAGTGAGCCTCAGTGCCAGTGAGTGTGTCAGTGAGTGAGCCTCAGTGCCAGTGAGTGTGTCAGTGAGTGAGCCTCAGTGCCAATGAATGTGAGTCTCTAATGACAGTTGACTCTGGAACGTTCAACAATTCAAATTCTGAGCGACGTGCTGATTGGTCGCTGGGTTCCGCTCCTGTGATTGGCTGCGCTGGTTTTCGATTCTGATTGGTCGCGGTGGGGGGGCGTCCGCTGCTGTGATTGGCCGCGCGGGGCGGGGGGGCGGAACTCTGCTGTCGTGATTGGCCGCGGGGCTCCGCTCCTGTGATTGGTTCTCAGGTGGGGATTTAAACATGGCGCCAGTAGCTGTCCAATCAGCTGCTGCTGAGACAAAGCCTCAGGTGGAACCTTTCTGGGAACTGAGACTTCATTTAATGTGGAAATAAACTGTGAGCAGAGACACAGTGTTATAATAGTAATAATAATAATAATCATAATTATAATCCTCGCATTTGATTTGGTCTTTGTTATTAACTTTTGAGACGTCGCGAAGGCGTGAAAAGCGCTATATCAAATGCAAGGATTATTATCATTGTTATTATTGTTATTATTAGCGATGCCGCCATGTTCCAAGTTACCTTATGCGATATAGTTTGGGACCCGACGCGTGCAAGCGACCGCCAGGATAGTGACAGGCGACCTGGATGGACCCTGGGTCTTCTTTCGTATCGTTTCTTCCGCGGGCGTCCGAAACCCTCGTACACGCCTTCATTACATCGGGGCTCGACTATGCAAACTCACTGCTTGTCGGCCTCCCCAACTCCTCCCTCCACAGTCTGCAGATCATCCAGAACTAACTCTGCAGCCCGTGTCCTCTCCCACACCAGGCTCCGTGACCCTATCACCCCCATCTTTGCCAACTCCACTGCCTTCCCATCACACAAAGGATACAGTTCCAGATCCTGCTCCTCACCTTCAAAGTCCTCCATGGTCTTGCTCCCCCTACCAACCTGTTCGCTCCCTCTGCTCAGCAGGCTCCAGCCTGCTTCACATCCCCCGCCTCGCTTGCCCCACTATCACAGGTGGGCCTACCGCCATTCTGCACCCACCCTCTGGAACACCATCCCGCAGTCCCTCCGTCTCGCCCCCTTCCTCACCACCTTCAAGACCCCCCTCTTCAACCATGCTTTCGATCTTCCTGCTTCCCCCCCCTGCCCTCCACCCTCCCCCACCCCAACCCTCAGCTCGGGTCTGTAACTCTGTCTGTCCAGCACCTTGGCACGTCCTCCCGACGTGAAAGGCGCTATACAAATGTAATTTTGTTGTTGTTGTCTAGCAATTCGTGTTTGTCTCCTGTTTGCTCCGCTCCACCTCAACATTGGCGGGCAAGCCACTGTGCCGTGTTTGCCTGCACAACATGCCTAAAATCCTACAATTTACAGGCAGAAGTGTAATCAAGCGACCTGTTTCAGTTCCAATTGATTTTGTTTCTGTAAAACTCACTTTGTATTTGTGTAAGTTATTTATAGGAATTCCTCGAAGGAAAGAAGACCAAGGTCCATCCAGTTCTCTTTCCACCATCTTGGTCTTGATGACATGATAAGGCGCTATATATATACACACACAAGGACGATTGCGTTTTATTGTTATTGACAACAACAACTTGCACTGATACAGCACCCTTCACACGGGGAGTGTCTCTGAGTGCTGAGCGTCCCAGAGGCCCTGCCACCTTTTCAGCCTGTACTGTACTATAAAGAAGAGTGTGATTTAATGCAAAATTCATTTGCTCTTTGACTGACTGTAGGTGGCATAGAGACCCAGGTGTCGAGACACACAGCCCCAGGTGTAGAGACACATAGCCCCAGCACATTCTGTGTGCACATTAACTCCATTCAATCCCAACAGCAGCAGTGAAACCCCAGCTTTGAAAACGAACACCTTTAAGACAGTTTCTGAATTGATTATTATTTAGTTAACGCTGCGAAATACCTGCTTTAACTACTTGCTGTTCCTGACATTTTAAAGCCGGGGATTCTGTGAAAGGAATCACTGTTTCCAATCAGCGTGAATCATCTCTTTCAGTCAGATTTGTTTTTCTACTTTGAGATTTTTTTTCCCTGTAGCAGCTGAAATGTGGGGGAATGAGAGCCACAGACTCTGCTCCCTCCCATTTTCCACTGTGGCTTTCGCTCACATGTGTTTTCCATCGTCTGGGAGATGCTGGAATCCATGTGCTGTGTATATTCTGGGGCTGATTATTGTAGACCTGCATTGCTGGAAGCTGCCGTGTAAATCAGGGCTTTGCACTGTCTGTCACAAGGGAATGAGACAGACGCCCTGTGTCTATGATTGCTCTACTCCATAGGTACCACCATCATGACTTGTCTCCCAGGTTATAATAGGATCAGGAAAAGCCAGTCATCCCACTGAGTCTCCTTAAAACGAGGCCATTTAGGAGTGAAACCAGGAGGCAGTTTTTCACCCCAAAGGTGGTGTAGATCTGGAACTCTCTCCCTCCCTCAAAAGGCTGTGGATTATGGTTGGATCCATTCAAATTTTCAAGCTGAGGTGGACAGATGTTTGTTAGGGATCTGGGGTAAGAGTGGGTAACTGGAGTTGAGGTACAGATCAGCCATATTATAGAATGGCAGAACAGGCTCAAGGGGCTGAATGGCCTACTCCTGTTCCTACGTTGCTATATTCGTATGAGTCTGCTTATGACAACAGCACAAATCATGTTTCTCCATATACATTAATAACCTTATTTACCAAGTAATTTGAAACATGACATGATATGTCATATGGTAAGTGTAGTATACTAAGAAGAACTAGGCAACTTTGGATCTAAAGTTTTCAAAGCTTCCCACTCTGTTGTAGACTAATCCAGACAGAATAAATAGCTATCAACATCTCCATTATTGTACCGTGCGACTACCTGGATGGTAGAAGGTGAACTAGATGGACCTTGTTCTTTTTTCATCTAGTAATCCCTATGTTCCTATGTTCCTAAATCTCTCTCACACACCGCACACCGCACCTAGCCTTGTATCCATGGTTTTCTGAGGCAATAGGTTGCATATTTTCATCAGCCTTTGTGTTAACGAGATATTTTTCTGGTCTCCTGTTTCACCGGCTTAGCTCCACTTTTAAAGTCCTTTTGTCCTGGATCCCCCCCTAACTCATTAATATGTGTAATACTAATGCCTGTGGTTCACACAGCGCCTCATCACATCACAACGTCACAATGTGCAAGCTTCTCTGACTGTTATTTGAGCAGCCGTGGTTTGGCGATCTTCTCCAGAGATGGTCTGCACACAATGCTCAAACTAATCGATTTGCAAATCGTTTTTCCGGGTTAATAATCCCTTTAAAAAATAATTTGGTCACTTAATCCACGACTGTTTGTGGGACGCTGCTGTGCACAATTGATTGCCGCGTTTCACCCACAAAATATAGTCACTGCACTTTACAGTGTATCCTGTGAAGCTTTGTGAGGCATCTCAAAGACGTGATAAGGCGCTGCTCAAATGCAAGTATTATTATTGTTATGAATTACCTTTGTTTGTGTTGAATTTCGGGTGTGGGAGGAACAGGATCTGGACACCGGGAAACCGGGAAAACCCCGGCTCTTTCTTTCAAACAGTCATGTAGGATCTTTAACTTTCTCCAGATGAGCCGATGGGCTGGGCCTGTCATCCCAGGCCTGGCTTCTCCTCACAGTCACTGCTCCCTATGTCAGGCTGGAGTTGCACACAGAGGGTTCACACCAGCTTTGGCTGTGAACAACTGCCTGGAGTAAAGCTGGCTTGTTACTCTCTCAGCACGCGATAGGGAGTGGTGTGTTTTCATCACTTCGCACCTCGACTGTTCCAACACCCTCATCACTGGTCTCCCAGCTCTACTACCCGCAAAATCTAACTAATTCAGAACTGTGTCACCCATATACTCACCTGCTCAAATCTCTGTACCCCCATCGCACCAGTCCTCGCCAGGCTCCACTGTCTCAGAGCTGTTTTTTAAATGAATCCAGTTTCCTGGCCTCGACCGCCCTTCTGGACAATCTGTTAATTAATAATAATTTATAATCCTTGCATTTGATAGAGCACCTTATCGCGTCTTTGAGTCGTCTCAAAGCGCTTCACAGAATATACTGTAAAGTGAATTGACCGTATATTTTGTGGGTGAAACGCGGCAGCCAATTACCCTTGGAATAAAGAAAAACTTACTGGTATCTGTCTTGAAATCGCCCTTTTGCAAACTCTAAGCCCACGACCTCTTGTTCTGCTGTCTCGGTGCATCTTAAGGTAATGTATTGTTCTGGGGTGACACTTTCAATCGACATTAAAACATGATACAAGGTCCCGCTCCGAGAGGCCTTCTCTCGAGCCTTCGCTTGTCTAATTTATCTGTAATGGCTGTTGAATCTCCCGCTTTACTGTAGGGGGAATATGATGGTTCCTCTAACACGTTGTGTTAAGAGTGAGGGGCAAGTTCAGAGTCAGCCAAGAACAGTGAAAGGCATTTGGAGACAGAATGGGGGGAGGGGGGCAATCCTCTGATTCCTCTACACACTTCCACTCCCAAACTGAAGGAAGCGCTCCTCAGTTTCGCAGCAGGAATATTTCTGGGAGAGGATAGAGCTGTGGGAGGGTCTGTGTGTGGGGGGGTCCTTTGGATAGAGTTAGGGACTCTCTTGACCAAGGTTGGAGTTCCTCGCTATCACAGGCTGTGAGAGGGAGGGAGGGAGGGAGTGTGTGAGAGGGAGGGAGGGAGTGTGTGAGGGAAGGACTGTGTGAGAGGGAGGGAGGGAGTGTGTGAGAGGGAGGGAGGGAGGGAGTGTGTGAGAGAGGGAGGGAGGGAGTGTGAGGGAGGGAGAGTGGAGTGTGTGAGAGGGAGGGAGGGAGAGTGGAGTGTGTGAGAGAGGGAGGGAGTGTGTGAGAGGGATGGAGGGAGTGTGAGAGGGATGGAGGGAGTGTGAGAGGGAGGGAGGGAGTGTGAGAGGGAGGGAGGGAGGGAGTGTGTGAGAGGAGGGAGTGTGAGAGGAGGAGGGCGGGAGTGTGTGAGAGGGAGGGAGGGAGTGTGAGAGGGAGGGAGGGAGTGTGAGGGAGGGAGAGGGAGTGTGTGAGAAGGGGGAGGGAGTGTGTGAGGGAGGGAGAGGGAGAGCGAGGGAGGGAGTGAGTGTGAGAGGGAGGGAGTGTGAGAGGGAGGGCGGGAGTGTGAGGGAGAGAGTGAGTGTGTGAGAGAGGGAGGGAGGGAGTGTGAGAGGGAGGGCGGGAGGGAGTGTGTGAGAGGGGGAGAGGGCGGGAGTGTGAGAGGGAGGGAGTGTGTGAGGGGACAGAGCGGGAGTGTGTGAGAGGGAGGGAGTGTGTGTGAGGGAGGGAGTGTGAGAGGGAGGGAGGGAGTGTGTGAGAGGGAGGGAGTGTGAGAGGGAGGGAGGGACGGAGTGTGTGAGAGAGGGAGGGAGTGTGAGAGGGAGGGGGAGGGAGGGAGTGTGAGGGGGGGGGGGAGTGTGTGAGAGGGAGGGAGGGCGGGAGTGTGAGAGGGAGGGAGGAGTGTGAGAGGGAGGGAGGGCGGGAGTGTGTGAGAGGGGGAAGGGAGTGTGAGAGGGAGGGAGGGCGGGAGTGTGTGTGAGGGAGGGAGTGAGAGGGAGGGAGGGAGTGTGTGAGAGGAGGGAGGGAGTGTGAGAGGGTGGGAGGGCGGGAGTGTGTGAGACGGAGGGAGGGAGTGTGAGAGGGAGGGAGGGCGGGAGTGTGTGAGAGGGAGGGAGTGTGAGAGGGAGTGTGTGAGAGGGAGGGAGGGAGGGTGAGAGGGAAAAGACAAGTTCACATCCCCGCGGGAAGGAGATAGTTCAAGAAGAAGAAGAAGAAGAAGAAGGGAAGAAAATCCAATCTGAAGAGAGAGAGAGAGAGAGAGCGAAATAGAAGAAACATTCACAAAGGAAACCTCGAGACCAGACAGGGATTGGAGGGAAATTCCCGAGGAGAGGAAGAAGAAGAAAAGGAGAAGAAAAAATGAGAACGTTTTTCTGAAGTTGGGGATTGAAAAACTTCCCCCAAAAAGGAGAGAAAATGTCAGTTTGGGGGGAGTTTGTCCAGAGGTTGGGAACGGGTGTGGAGTTTGCAACTGAACTGTGAAGAGAAGAGACTTTAAACAAGAAAAAAAGAGTCACTTTCACCCCCTCCCGCCCTCCAAAAAAAAAGAGAGCGAAACGACTTGGATTTTGTACACTTTATGGTGAGATTTGGGGAACTTTTATTATCTCAGAGAGAAAAAAAACTGCTCTATTATATGACCAGATTTTGAAAGAAAAGTATATATTTGTGAATAAGTTTGTTTTAAATATACTATATATTTACTATATATTAATTTAAAAAAATGGAAATAGATACACACATATATATATATATATATATAGAGAGAGAGAGAGAGAAATAGGAAGACTTGTTGGGAACAGACACAGCCTGGGGGGGGGGGGGGGGGGTGGGGGGTGTGATTGGATCACACACAAACCTGGACACGTTTTTGCTCCTCTTTGGTTCACTCAGTTTTATAAATGGATAAGATAGAAGCTGAACATTAGTACATGACATCGGGAATCTCCCTCCCTCCCTCCCTCCCTCCCTCCTCCCTCCGCTCTCCCTGCCTTCCTCCCTCTCTCCCTGCCTCCCTCTCTCTCCCTCCCTCTTCCTCCCTCTCTCTATCGGGGGAAAGGATGAGAGAGGGACAGAGACGCTTCGCTTCATTCGATTCTTACTTTAAGTCCCCATTTTTACGAACGAATTAAAGCCACAATCAGATCAGATCATTTTTTTGGGACCCATTTTCCTCTCCCACGCGACCAACCAGAGGAAATTCCCCAATTCTCTCCGTCTCTCTCTCTCTGTGTGTCTCTCTCTGTCTGTGTGTGTGGTGTCTCTGACTGTCTCTCTGTGTGACTGTGTGTGTGACTGTGTGTCTCTGTGTGACTCTGTGTGTGTGACTGTGTCTCTCTGTGTGTGTGTGACTGTGGGTGTGTGCCTGTGTCTCTGTGTGTGTGTGTGACTGTGTGTGTCTCTGTGTCTCTCTGTGTGACTGTGTGTGTGACTGTGTGTCTCTGTGTGTGTGACTGTGTGTGTGATTATGTGTCTCTCTGTGTCTCCAGTGAAACGTGCATTCTGATTTGATCCGCTTCTTGGAACATTGCCTTGTGGGGAAGTGATTTTTTCTCTCACACTCACTCACTCTCTCTCTCTCTCTCCACATCGGCTTTTTTTTTCTCTCTGGATTGTATTTCTGCAAAACCGAATCGATCGCCTTCTCCCCAGAGGGTGGAGCGGTGGTGGGGGGAGAGGGGGAGAGGGGGGGGGGGTGTGTGTTGGAATCTGCCTTGTGTCCCAGTGTGTGTCGAGGAGGGAGAAGGAATGTGCAGGGCAGAGCCCGTCTCTCCTCACAGCCTCTCCACCATCACATCGCCACACTCTGCCAACCACAGAGACAATAATAATTCGTTCGCAACACTTTCCCTCTCTCGATTGAAACCCTCGCCACGCCGTTTTGCAGGAGGATTTTGGTGCAGTGAGTGAGTGAGTGAGTGAGTGAGTGAGTGAGTAGACAGGTTTGCCAGTGTTAATTTTTCCCCCCAAATGGTTTAATTTCTTCATGGGTTTCAGCTCCAGCCCTGGACACCGAGTCCGCTCTCCCTTCCTGCATCCCACAGACTGTCCGCCTGATAACAACTGCCCGAGGAGTGAGTAATCCATTGGGAAAGGATTATTTTAAGATCTGATTTGAGGAATGATTAATATTTTTGGGGGCTGCCAAAACCTGAGATTTTCTTCAATCAGTATATAAACATATTAGACACCAGAGGAGGGAATATTATTCCGAACAAGAGATAGACAGGAAGAGAGGGAGGGAGAGAGAGAGAGAAAATGACATCGCCTGCGAGATTTAAGAAGGACAAAGAGATTGTTACAGAATACGACACACAAGTCAAAGGTGGGTACATGGTTTTTTTCTTGTGTGGGGGGTGTGTTTGTGTGGTGTGGGGGTGAGAGCACTCAGCTCTGCGTTTGTTATTGTACCAGAAACAGACTAAGACTGCATTCCTGGGCATTGCTGGCTTCATTCAGTACCCCCCCCCCACCACTCCGGCCTTCACTGAAGTGAGTCAGTCAGCCCCTCTCCCCCCCCCCCCCCCCGCCATTGAGCAGCTTGGATTACAAAGATATATACTCTAGATGTTTAATAATAATATTCCTTGCATCTGATATAGCGCCTAAAAACGTCTTCGAGGCGTCTCAAAGCGCTTCACGGGATATACTGTAAAGTGAATTGATTGGCTGTATTTTGTGGGAAATGAGAAATGACGTTTTTTTGAAAAAATTGATTCATTTGACTTTTTTTCATTAAAAAAATAAAAATAAGCACCCACAAAAACACACACACAGACACACACACACACACACACAAAAAACACACACACACACACAAAAACACACACACACACACACACAAATACGCACACACACAGACACACACACACACACAAAAACACACACACACAGACACACACACACACACACACAAAACACACACACAGACACACACACACACACACACAAAAACACACACACACACACACACACACACACACACGAGTCCTGTAATGATAATGAATGCAGTACATCTTGTCTAGTAAACAGTGATGGCATTGCCATTGCTCATCGCCCGCTCAGTGTGTATGTTGGTGCAACATTAGATTGTAACATATTGCAGAATTGTTAATATACATATCTATGTTTATTGTATATAATTATATTTTATGCGGCCGGGTGGTGTAGGGTTGTTTCACTTCCCTCTCAGCCTTATATTTGACTTGGTGGAAGGCCAAGGGTTTCTTTGAGGGGTGGGGCTGTTTGGGGGGGGGGGGGTCGGGCGGGGGGGTGGAATTGTTTTGAGGGGTGCGGGAGGTAATGTCTGTGGTCACAGTTATCATCCACACGTGTTTACCACATTGAACCGGATCGGGTGATGAGAGACAGACAGACCCCTCACTGAGGCCCACTGCTTTTCTAAATGCTTTGTTTCCTCATTTCCCCTTTCCTAATCAAGTTGTGGTCAACCGTCCGTCCGTCTCCCACCCCACGTTCTGTTGGCCTGGGTCTGCCATCTCTCTCCTACCCCCCCCCATGACTATGTGTGTGTGGGGGGCATTAGACCCTGTCACTGGCCTCAAGGTCTGGTGCTGGGCTGGGATGCTGGCAGTAATTAGGAGCAGAATCTCTGCAGAATTATCACCTTCCCCCCTCCTCCCGCGCCCAGTCCCACCCCCTCAGACACCCGCTTCCACAATCTCACCCTCTCCCCAAACCCCCTCCCATGCCTCCCCTCTCCCCAACATCGCTCCCCCCTCCCCCCACCCCAGGACACACTCCCTGACTGCTGTCTATCCTGCGACGCCAAAGCCAATTGTAGCCCCAACTGTTGCACAGCTTGAGACCTGGCTCCTGTGTGTGACTTACACACACAAGCACTCAACAACAACAACTTGCACTTATATAGCAGGGTAGCATCTCGGAGCGCTTAAACACGCTCAACACGCTGACACAATGGAGATACCCAGTCTATTCCCTTCCCACCCACCCCCCCACACACACACAGCTCCCAAAATATGCAGTAATTAAGTCACTGCAGATCCTCTCTCCGCACCCCCCACCCCCACCCAAAAAAAATGGTATCTGGTCTGTAGCTCTGAGGCTGAACTAGTCGGGGGGTGGGGGGGGAGGGGGGAGGGGAAAATGGGTGTCATCCCACCACAATCACTTAACAACTTATACTTAAACAGTAACATAGAAGTCATTGGGGCAGCCAGGGGCGGGTGAGTGTGTGTGTGCACCACTGCTCCCTTTGGTTTCTAGGTCACCTTTTCTATTATTAATTCCCACTTTCTCTCGTTCTCTCGCTCTCTCTCTCCCTCTTTCACTCTATCCGCGTATCCCCGTGGGTTTGCAGCCCGGGTGCTTATCGAGTTTCGCTCTGTACAATTGTATTGATGTGGCCTGAGTCTCTGGTTGGGAATGAATTCCTTACCCTGACAGCCGTCTGACACAGTGAAGACATTCCTCCTGCTCTCGCTCTCTCTCTCTCTCTTTCTCACACATTTTTCCAGTTCTGGAACATTCCCCACATTCGCTCTGATACTGGTGAGGACAATCGGGGAACGGAAGGAAACTTTGCTTCAGGTTTCACCCGCCCGGGAATCGAACCTGGGTCCTCTTGCTTGCGAGGCGAGTGCTCTAACCATCGAGCTGCCGGACTCCCAGAGTAGGAGACACTGACTGGCTTGCGGGGCTGTTGGGTTACGTGGACTCAGATACTCTGGTCTCTTTGATGTGGCAGAAGTGCCTGATTTGGGTGCCGCAGCCTCGCACCATAATTGCGTTGTCGGTTTACAAGCCCAGACAAGCAGCCTGTGTAAGTGGTGGTTCCATGCGGTGGGGCAAGTGGCCCATTGCACATCAAAGCACTCTGCCCCCCCCACCCACCCACTGCCTCCCCCCACCCCCGCACTAAGTGAGCGATGGTACCAGTTGCATCACTGGCCGCAAAGACGGGTAAATCATAGTCGCCCGGGCTCCACCCGTCCATCTCCCCCAACACAGGTCTCTCTCCTCTCCTCCCTCACCCTTTCTCCTTTTCTCCCTCTCTGTTCTCTTCTCATTTCTCTCTCCCTCTCCCTCTCTCTCTCTTTCCCCCTCTACCCTCTCGCCTCCTCTCTCACCCCCCCCCCCCCCTCTTTCACTCTCCCCCTCTCCTCTCCTGTCTCCTCTCTCTTTTCCCATCTGTCCGCTCCAGCAATCCCCATCTGTGTGAGACACAATGTGTGCTGTGGTGGGTTGGGGATGGGTTGGGGGGAGTGATGGTCTCGCTGTGATGTGGGGGGGCGGGGGGGCAGTGCTGGGTGACATTGAGCAGTTGCTACTGGGTGCAGTGTTATTGATCAGTGAACACAGTGTCTGGTATACAGACAGCGGCTCCTCGGGTCAGTGTGCAAAGACTCTGCTTTGACCTAGTTTTGTGGTGCGCTCACAGCAATGTCCTTGGTGACACCTTCCCCCCCCCCCCCCCGCTGATGCTAACAGCTGAGGCCCAGTCAGGGCCCCTGGCAACATTGGGGCCGAGCCCTGTGGGCATTGTCAGGTGAAGTAAGAGGGGTTGAGAGAAGTCACCGCACACACACCGCACCCACATACACCGCAGACACACACACACACGCCGCGCGCACACACACACGGAACCCACACACGCATCACGAACGCGCCCACATGGCACCCACACACACCGCACCCACATACACTTCACACACATACACCACGCACACAGCACATACTACGCACACACGGCACACACACCCACACGGCACACACACCCACACGGCACACACACACCCACACGGCGCACACACCCACACACACCGCAGCTACATACACCGCAGACACACTGCACACACACACACGGCACACACACTGCAATCACACACACTACACACACAAACTGCACCACACACACACACATTGCATACACACACACAAACACACACACGCTACTCACACACACCGCAGCCACTTGGTGCTGGGGGGGTGGGGTAGGGAGTGATGGTCTCGCTGTAATGTGGGGAGGCAGTGCTGGGGGTGGGTGTAGTGCATTGGTAGGGGGGTAGTGCTGGGGGAGAGGGTAGGGCAATGGTGGGGAGGGGGGCAGTGCTGGGGGAAGGGGTAGGGCAATGGTAGGGGGGCAGTGCTGGGGGAGGCAGAGGGCAATGGAGGGGCGGGATTCTGGAAGATGAGATCAGATGGCTGAAGGCACTTCTCTTCTCTGCTCTATCGGAACCCCTCGTGTGATCTCGTGAGGAATGTTGCCGCTCTGCTGTGTGTAAGACACTGAACAAAGGGGTTAAGTGCAGAGTGCAGAGGCCCTGCACTTGGGATTGGCTGCTGAGAGGCCTGTCTCAGTGCGCTGGGGCCCAGCTGAGGAGCAGCCAGGCAGCACTGCAGTTGCAGTGGGTGAGACACAGTGGCTTCACGCAGTATCCTCACTCTTATACGCTCGCAATCCAGCCCCTGCCGGCATCACATCAGACAACTCAGCACAGGGCAGGGACGCGGCCTGAGACACAGTAAAGCTCCCTCTACACTGTGCGTCCTCACTCCCAGGTCAGGGTTAGAGAGACAGAAAAGCTCCCTCTACACTCTCAGATCAGCTACGGGTCTTTCTCTTGACAATCTTCATTTCTTCTCATCCAAATTAACCCAGAAATCCTGATTAAGCCACTCGTCGTCGATTGGATGTAGATATTTAGCACCTTGTTATCTCTCTTGTTCTCTCCCCCTCTCTCAGTCTCTCTCTCACTCTCTCTGGCTGATTGCTGTCAGACACTATTTGAGGCTCTCTCTTCATTGTTGGTGTGTTTGATAGTGGTTGTGTGACTGACAGTGTGTGACGCTGGGTGTGTGATGGACAATCGATGGTGTTTGCAGACTGTGTCCGGCACGAGCTCCTGACTATGGCACGTGCTCAGCTGCAGTCTTTGAAATATTTAATTAAATGGCGTCTGGCCTCAGATCCCAGCCTCATTACCCTGTGTCACAGCCACACAAATAGCCTGTTCCTCGTCTGTTTGGGTAGTAAGGGGAAGCCAGCCTGAGGATAACTGAGTGATGTGATGGCCAGGAGGGTCTGGGTGTGCTCACTCTCAATGCTTCACACACACACTCCTGAGCTGCTCCTAATGGGAATACAGGAACAGGAGGCCATTCAGCCCACCGAGCCCCTTCTGCCAGTTGATTGGATCATAGTCGATATTTTAATCTGATTTTGTACCCCTCGATTCCCGAGTATCTATCAGCCCACAGAGATACTAAGGAGGGGAATTGCGAGGGATCGGAAGGGGAGCAGAGGGGACTGGGAGAGAATGAGGGAGGATTTGAGGCGGTGGG